GTATTAATTATACTCATTTAAAAAATGCAAAAACAAGCAAATAATTCAAAGGGAGATAAGATAAGAAATTTTGAATACAGTTTTTCCACTTTCTTCGTTTCCAATTTTCTTTAAGTCATGCTTTTTATACACATAAGTAAATATAAAATATATACTCCCCACAAGTTTCTGTAATCAGTCAAAAAGCCATCACTGATCGATCAGAACTCATATGATTTATTTGATGTTTAGATATTATACATAGATATTTTATAACCAAAAAAGTATTAAGGTCATACAAGAATTCGTATTTGTAGACAGAAATTTTTTTTAGTTTTTTGTCTACCACTTCTTGTGACTTTATCCACTTCTATCCCTTCTTAAAAATAAATATAAATGCAAACAGGTACATATACTACATATATAAAAAAAAAAAATCTGGAAGAGTTTTCTAAACAAAAATAGTTGTGAAATCTCCAAAAGTACTAACTTCTAATTTAAAATACATATAATTCATACATAATTCTCGACAAAATAACATTCTTGTCAATATCGACATTTTTATAATTTTTGTTTATTTAAAAGATAATGCACATATAATTTTTTTATAAATCAAATTTTTTACCAAAATACCAGATTTTTATAAAATTTCCCCAAAATTAAAGTTTAAACTTATTCAACATGTATTACCAAGAAATCATGAAAGAAAAAAACGCATATTTATCTCTACAGTATATAAACCAACTCATTAAAATATTGGCGTTTATTGAAATGAGTATGTATTATTAAGAATTTACCGTGATCGCTTCCGCCGCAACGGAATCCCCTCTATAAAAATAATTTATTTTTCAGCTTCTTTACAACACTTCTAACCTAAACGTTGTGCTTCCCTTTGATTTTCAGCAGAAACCATTTCTTTYTCTGACTATGTTTTACGACATTCACAATCCAGTGCAGGGTTTATCTTAAATATTTGTAGTACTTGAATTAAGCAAATAAGTAATAAGTAAGCGCGCACGAATGACTCAAATCCAGAGCAACTGTTTTACTATTTATGCACAGGGCATTTATTTGCGCACACACACACAAACAGAGGTTTAGAATTAAAAATGTACATTTACACATGCATACATCTCTCTACTATCATATGTAAATATATGTAAAAATAAAACTATTGTTAAATGTGATCCCAATTTATCAGGTCGCTGTCATATTTAGTTTGTAATCAAATTAGTCACCTATTAGTAAGCACAGTGTATTTTTTGTTCTCCATAGAGCAGTGAATTTACAGATACATGTATGCATGTGTGTAAGCTTTTAGTATTATTTCGCGCCTATAAGTTAGTGCTTGGTGAGCGCTCTTAATGTGTGACTACACTAGCTAATAATTTCCGCTTAGTGCTTGTACTTGCTTAACCAGCTGTTGGGAAACTCAGAAATGTATATAATATATGTACATATGGAGTAAATATTATATATAGATGACGRTTTAACAATTAGCATGTTACTATAATTTAATGATTTAGCCGACGGTATTATAAATGAGTGGCGATAATTTAATCTAAAATATACACATATATATTTTATATAAATGTTGGAAGAGTTTTGTGGTTATTCAGTTTTATCAAGAACACAAGTCTACGAGTAGTACAAAACCTTCAAAGACCGTCCACAGATTATTCTCGACGACCATCGACCTCTATGACTGATGAAAATATTAAAAACGTGAAAGATATGGTGCTCGAAAATCGTCAGGCAAGTGTTAGAGCTGAAGGCAATCCCAAAAAGTGTTTATGAAAAGTGTTTCGAGTACTGGAAAATCGAATGAATCGTTGGCTAAAGTATATTACATCGGGTGGGGATTACTTTGAAGGCGCCAAAATAAATATTGATGAATAACTAAATATTTTGCGTTTTATTTACCATTTCCAAGTATTTTATTGTCACTCAAAAGAGCACTGTGACAAGCCAAGTAGATTTAGCCATGTCCGTTTGTCAAAATATAGGTTAAGTAGTMCCTCACTTCTTGATTCATCGATCGAAATATTGCACACGTTTTTTTATACTTAAAAAGATGCTCATTTATTCGAACCGCCGATATCGGACSACTAAAGCATATAGTCACCATACAAATGGACCGAATTCTTGTATGGAAAAGTTTTTTATCTGTGAAGAGTATTATAGTTTGGGAGCTATCGAGTTTATATTTTTTCTGGTTTTTGCATATTTTTAGTTTTAATTTATTTATCGGAAGAGATTTATTAAAAAAAATAGTTGGTTGGTTTACTGAAGAAAGGTTGGGAAGCTATTGTCCAAGTCACTACTTTTTCATCTATTTTGATTGACTAATAACTTATACATGTATATCACCAACCAAATAGCGCTAGTTTCACAATCTAGTATTAGTTTCTCAATTTAACCACTCAGAGATTACCTATTTGATACTTTTAAGGAAAATAGCAGGTTATTCTTAAGCAACTAGTGATTTTTCTATGACAAGCACTTGCAAAATGTCTCCAGCAGAGAACATTACTTATGTTGTATTTGGTTACTTGTGGCAGCTGGTGGCAAACTCAGTACTTAGACAGGGTAGTTTTATAATCTGCACTTCCTTCAGGTATGCTTACACAATTGACTGTTTAACTATTGAAAATAAACAAAACTTTTACCTACCAATGTTTTCGTATATTTTTTAACGAAATTTACAAATTTTATGTCATTCTTAAATATAAATAATCTTTAAAATAGAATTCTCAAAATTGCTTGCAAGCTCATTGACATAAGACCTTTTTTGGTTTAAAAACTAGCTTAAACGTATAGTAAAACTAATCTAATCTATGCGCTTATTACAAAAAATCATAAATATTTTGTTTGAGAGTAAAAATCGTACAAATGACATACATAGACCGGAACAATTAAGTAACATAGACGGAATTGATCAAGTACGAGATATGTGTTTATGATATTCGTTCGTGGAACCGGAATTGTGAAATTTTGGTTATTTATATTAAGAACCCACATATCATATAGCTTATAGATCAGGATTATAGCTTAATCAAATTAAGGATAATGTAAGAAAATGGAGACCTATTAAACAAAACTTTATTTATATAGGTCACAAACCATATAAACAAACCATCAAATATATCGTCACCTGAACTTCAAAGCAATGTATCATTAAATAAATCAATATTGAGTTTTTTGTTGCTTACAATTCACTAAAACATATTACATACATATATGTAGCATAAAATGCTCAGCTTCCGCTGTCAAATATACCCATAAATATAACCAATATATACACAATATATAACCATTTTATAACCAAATCTCACATTTTATTTCAATATGTTTAGTTTCTATTATATCGTTTTTCCTTTGCCTGTAAACTTATGAAAAATGATGTTACGTTATTATACATTTTAGGTGACGATATATAATGCTTGGTGCCTGTATAATTGAATAATAACACTTAATTTATGTTGGAGCATAGTATGTGAGTATCTTTATTCCGATTCCGATGAAAGGAACTTTTTCTTTTTTTTTTTTTGGGGCATTAAATTTTCCAATGATTTGATTTCAAAATTTTTTATTCAATTTTCCGATGGGCATAAACTTCATTARCTGTGCGTAAAAGACTGGAAACTCACTCCTCATAATAATACAAGAAAATAGAACTTCAGAAAGTACTATACAATTTCAATATAAATAATTTAGCGTATCATATTCTTAAAATATATGCAGGTATGGTCTAAGCAAAATCACAGAATTTACCAAAATTTCAAATTCCACACCACCAAGCGCTCATGAGACAATCATTTCTGCACTATCCTATAAGAAACAGCAGCTGACTAGTTCTATTTCTTCCYCACTATATCAGAAAAAAAATCACATAAATCATAAAAAATTGTAATTAATAAATCACAGTTAGCCATATTCTAATTTTTCTTCAAAACGCAAGTACGTTTTGCTTGTTTAGGTTTAAATTCTAAATTTCGTCCAAAAAAATTATTACACGAGTATTTCTAATCATTTTAGAAAAAAAAAATTATTTCAACTTCACATTTTTCAATTTTCGTATATATTATGTTTTTTTTTTTTCCTGAGCATGTGTGTGCGCATGTGTATGAGTAATACATGTGATTATCCGCTTTAGAATTTGACTTATCAAGCAAATAAGTGAGACTAATTTTTTAATGCACAGTAGTTAAGCAGCGCCCAAGCAAGTGATTAAGTAGTTAGAAATAGTTTAAAAAATATGTAATTCTTTAGTATATTTACCATTTTTGCCGTTATGTCTTCCACTTTTAATCCTTTTTAGAATGACTGCGTTAGATTGATTGTTGGTGCTTGGTTTGGATGGCTTGAAGCTCACGTGCGTATTTGCACGCTGTTGTGGTTCTTGTATGAAGTTCACAAATTTTAAGCAGCTACGACGCTTGTTCTTTATAGTTGTTTTACACAAATTAAATACACTTTTTCTTTAAGTTTTTATTAATTAACAAATCGGAGAGAATAATTTTTATGTTTCGTTATTTCGCACAAAATTCACAGCATGTCTAGTTAATTTCTATTGAATTTTAAATTTTATTTCGGCTGCTAAAGTATTAAAGTATATTTTTACTTGTAAAGATCTTTACRAGTTGTTTGTAGGTAGTTGCTTTTGTGTTATAATTACTGTTTGCGGAGGTTAATTTTGRAGGATGCTGCAGTTGCTGGGCATATTATTAGTAACGCATAAGTTTTGTGTTTATTGAGCGCAAGCTGTGTATGCAGTTGGACGCAACAGGATTATAGGAYAATTTTTTTCTTTAAATGTGCAAGTTATTGTTGTTGTTTTGAATTTCTCAGCGCACCTCAGTAATGTAGAGTTATTGCCAATTCTAAATAGAATTTAYAATTATGCGTCAAAAACAATATTAAAATTGCTGAATTTTGTTYTTGTTTTTTTCGTTAAAATTATACCTTTTAAAAATTAATATTTTTTATTTCACAACAATTATTTTGTTTAGCGCGCAATCTTATTTTTTATTGTTTTGGCGTAGTTTGGYTGTTGTAATAATAACGTTTTCACTTTTTAAGATGTATTTCGAATATATTTTATATAATTTTAATTGTTGTTACAATTGTTATATTTTCACTTTTAAAAATATATTTTCAATATTTTTTTAATACATTCAATTGTTGTTGCAATTGTTATATTTTCACTTTTTAAAAATATTTTCAATATTTTTTTAATACTTTTAATTGTTGTTACAATTGTTATATTTTCAATTTTTAAAATATGTTTTCAATATTTTGTCTGCATATGTTTTATAGTATTTTAGTTATATTTGTATGTGACTCCGAACTCTTGGCAACTCGAATATTTTTTATTTATTTTTTATTATTACGCCTGGTTATCTTAWATTTACTGCAATTTTTACGCATATATCAAAATATATATATATTTTTTACAATTTTGATTTCAAAACTCCTTCAAAGTATTATTTACTTTTATTATATCAAACAATTTTTTCGCCTTTTTCCTTTAGCTCAAGCATTAATGTCACTTTTCTGACAATTTCCTGCTCCTTTCAGTTCACCAGCGTCTTATTTACGCCAAAAATGCCGTTATACATCAAGTCAAACGCAGAAAATTCTTGTGGGAGGCGATGCCAATCTACCGTTAGCAATCGAAGACCGCGTGTGAATGTGTGGAATGATAGCACTTCACTTCAATAATGCCAATGSAAGCGCACAAATGAAAACAAAACACACAAATAAACACACGCAAGCGAAATTAAACGCATAAAAAAGGCAACAACGTCCAACCAATTCCGAATATCGAATGCAAATGTTAGAACGCGTACATTTTTTGTAACTTCGCTGCCATATATACATACATTTATTATCTGCCACAACTGTCACAGAGCAAAACGTTCTTGCCACTACTTATACTAGCGCGTTGCTTATTTGATTTTATTTAATTTATTTGCTGTTTGTTGTTATTCTTGTTCTTGGTTGTAGAATGGTGTTGCCGCTTTAGCCGCTGATTGCGCTGCTGCCTGCCGCTTGCACGTTTAGTCAATGACTAAGGGCGCGCAATTCAAAAAATTTTTAAATTCAACACAGCTCAACACAAAAACCAAAAACTAATAAAATCAATTTCACACACACACACAGACACACGCGCAACACATAAACGAGCGCTTACAGCGCACACACTCACCCTAAAACGCACATGCACACACGCAGGCATTGCCTTCCGCTCAGAAACGTCAGCGCCAGCAAAACAAAGTGTAGCCGGTGAGCGKGCAGCTAAATGAGCGCTRCTCCTCACTAGCGGCGCACACTAAAAGAGAGAGCACCATTTAGCTAGTAAGCTAGCTAGCAAGCAACAAATTGAGTGGGAAAACTGTAACGAAAACGCTGCAACAGCGGGCACGACAGCAGCAGCAGTAGAAGCTGTAGAACATGTGAGCATTGTATGTAAGACATATTAACGACGGCAACAAAAACAATAAAAGCAATGCTAAGAAAGTGTTTATAACAGCAAGCAATTACCGGCTGTGTACAGTGAGCTGCGATACGTTAATAATTGGCAATAAATATATATGTATGGCGGTTTTGAGTATGGAAACGGACTTTTGTGGGCTTAAGTTATTTTTTAGATCTTAAGAAACATATTGCTAGAGAGAAATTTTGGGAATTATATAAACACTAGTGCATTGATTGTTTTAAAATGTTAAGGTTATAATTATATATGTTTTAAGAATACACAGTACAATTTTTAGGGAACTATTTACAGCTTTTTCGAATTACTCCGACGGTGCTAAAGCTTTGTTCTTCACTGCTGTAGTAAATCCGGCTTTCTCCGTGAATTGAACCCGAAAACACAAACTACCTTCTAGAAGATATTTTCCGTGACTTAACTAGAAAAAAAATCAAAAACTGACTAAATGGTACTTTAATATAATATACTGGAATTTTCCCACAGTTCTGATCGTTTTTGCCTACCAAAATTTTGGACCAAATMAATCAATTGTATGTAGAACTATATACAGAAAATCTCTTCCCCTTTAAAGGCGTAGAGCCGAGTTAACAACAGCGCRTCAGTCGTTTCMTCTATTCGTCATTTGACGTCCCTTCTCTACCTAATCTCTCCAAMGGACAATAAATCTTTCGCAGAACCTTTCTCTYGACAACTCGTCACGTCGACTCATCTGATGTTGWCATCGTCCATGCKMGTTTTGGTCTTTCATCGTCGAGAGACGACTTAACTGCTCAATTGCCTACTCAGTCCGAAGTAGCACCTGTTGGCAAGAGTTATTCTGAATTGAATTTAACGTCTACATTGTTGAAGGTAACTACTACTTGAACTTTTTGAGATATGTATATGTATATTATATTTAAAATGCTAGCAAATTTTTTTGAAAGGTATCGAAWTATGAAAAAAAWYMRATTTTTTTGGTAAAYTTCACACTAACTGTGATTCTYAGCACAAAAGAGTATACAAATTTGCATACTTTTAAGGCAAAATTAACATATTATTGTACCTCGATAAGCCAGATAGTATTTTATTATTCGAATTTCAAAATTACCCACTGTACAAACACAAACGAAGGAACATTTTTAATTTGACCGCATCTTCGGCTTATTCTTCGTAACTCAGCTGTTGGTTCGTAAATTCCTTGTTCATATTCGTAATTCGTAAATTTGTAAATTTGTACATACATAAGTATTTATTAGTTTGCGTTGATTTTTTATTATTATTGCCTTACTACTCGGAATACTAATTCTAATTCGCTCACTGTACGCATTCAGTATTTTTGTGTGCGACAGCTCTCTTTGCTCATACACTCTCATTTTTGGTTGKCTCTCTACCTCATGTTAAGCAAGTAGCAACAAATTTACTAAGAAGAAAGATATGGTGATTATAATAGCAATGTCTGTCAAGATAATATGACTTTGCTTAAGGCAAGACAAAAGCACACACATACACATGTGTGTGTAAACATATACAGACATACGTATGTATATAATATAAGAGAATGATTTCTTCTCCTTTTTGCTATAAGTTAGTGCAACCCTGAGTTAACAGCAGCTCYGACATATGGACACACTAACACATGTTTACTATCAGAAATACATTTGTCCTGACAATTCATAARATTAAGCAACAGCTATTGGCATAAATCTATGTTATTTTTGTTGTTATACAATATTATCACTCCTGCATACAAATGGATACTCAAAATTTCAAAAAATTTCGCTCATAACATGTGTATGTGTGTTATGACATTTCGTTCGTGCTTTGTGCTGACGCTGAGAAATATGGGTGTAGCAGCAAAGACAACAACGGAAGCGTCGTAGTAATGTTAAAGTATTGATGTAAATGAAATAGGATAAAATTCTACTAATCATTGAGGTGTACGTGTTGCTGTAATGCTTCAATTGGAAGACAAGGATGAGGTCGCTACGAAATTTGGACAAAACATTAAATATTTTAATATAAATGCTACTTTTAAACTAGGCTTTTAGGCGCTGAGGGGGAATAATTATTTGGGAGGAAAATTATTTCTTCTGTAATATATGTATATTTTTTTCCTTTTCTCCACAAGAAGCTTYTCATTTGTCGGGATCGCCGATATYGAAACACTTTAGTATATAGCTGCCATCAATCGTGAAATTGAAAATTGAATTATTTATAGCAATGGAGTAAGCTCTTAGGCGCTGGAAAGGAATAATTGATTGTTTGAATATATTTTGAGTTGTAAATTGTACCATATAAATTTATTGCTTGAATATATTTTATTATTACGTAAAGTCATTAGTAAAGCAGCATTTTAGGCGTATTAACAAAACATTTACTGTTTCCATATACATTTTATTTGCTTAGTATTATTGTTCACATCGTTATATTAACAATTTAAAATTAAAAAATTAGATTAAGAATTTTAAAGCATACCTTTAGGCGCTGGAAAGTTTAAGAGGCTCACCAAGCCAATAAAGCGATGCTTTGCAAATAAAAAAAAATACTGTATTATTTATTTTCGTCTCTGTGAATGAGATCTGAAAAAGAAWATTCTCTACTACAGGAAATTAGGAAAATAGTAACCTAAGGTGAAAATATTAAATTTAACAAAATGTTTGCGTGTTAAAAAAACCGAATTTCATCCAAAACTTTGTTTAATTTCATTTATAAAATTTTTCAATCTATATTCAAACCAGATATTTATATTTTTTCTTTATTTATTACTACATAATAATATATAATTTAGGTACGTATCTGTTTTTTCTATTTGCGAAAAGTGTTTTCATGAGAAAATATTAAGATTCTCAAATAAAAACTTATATTTTCAACAATTATTTTAAATTTCCTACAGGGTTGTCATTTTCATTTGGGGCGTCACATGCATTTGTTTTCGTTTTTATAGCAAATATCTGCAATTAATCAAGCAAAGAGAAATCTGAAATATAATTTATACATACACACACACATATACGTATATGAATATACTCAAATAAAAACACATTTACATATACAAAAACAGACATATATTCATACAAAAATATAAATGTGCAAGGAGATTATTTGAAAGAAGATATTTATCCATTGAACCCTAGCAATACTATATTTATTAGCAACATTATTTTAGGAAACGAAATCATAGGTAAGAGAGAAAAAAATGTATATACATATATAATAGTATAATTACATATGTATATCGTCACCTGAAATGCAAAATAACGTAACAGCATTTACGGAAATTTACAGAGGCATGAATGAAACACGAAGTAAAATGGAACATGAGTGAAAACAAATTTTAATACTGATTAAAACTGGTTTATGACTGAGCTCAGAATYTGAAAATGTTGAACATATGTAATATTATGTACGTAATTTKAAGTAGTGAAGCATAACTAATAAGGCACTCAATTTCGAATTTTTTGATGATTTTACATTTCAGGTGGCGATATGTACGTACATAYATACAT